TCGGGCCCCCCCCCCCGCAGCCGAGCCGGAGGACCAGGCCCGTGAGCAACCGTCGGTTGGAACCGGCGGCCCTGCTCTGAGCGAGGGGTGCTTTAGGTGGGTCCGCGCTCCCCCCCCCTCCTCCCCGGGGTGTTTTGGGGTGCCGGGGAAGGGAGGAGCAGGCAGAGAGGAACGGAGGGAAGCTGGTAGCGGGTTGGGGGGGCAACTTAAAGATATTTTTGTCAAGGATCCTGAGGTTTTGTCTGGCTGGCGGCAGGTGGGCGAAACATCCCCGCTTTGTGGGATGGCAGGGCTGGATTTTGGTTTTTTGAGGGGGTTTTGTGGTGGGTTTTTTTGATTTTTTTTTTTTTTTTTTTTTTTTTAATCCTTTCTTGGGCCAAAGGCTTGCCCACGGGGGTGCAGGTGATACTGGAGCTGCGGGGATTTGAGGGAATTTCCCCCAGGTTCAGGGCTGCTGCAGCACCCCGGGACAGGTGTTGCAGCTCCCGTGCGCAGCACCCTGGGGATGGGTCTTGGCCAGGAGCACCCAGGCCCAGCTCTGCCTGGGTGCCAGCAAGCGGCTGCACCTCGGGGATCCTCAACCCTCTCCCTGTTGTCGTTGCAGGATCGGCCCCAACCCCTCCACCTCTTCAAGCGCACCTTGTGAGTGCAAGAGCTGCATCAAGGCATGGCTGAGGGGTGGCTGAGCTGCCCACAGGCAGGGAAGGATGGAGGGCAGAAGGACAGCATGAGGTGCCCAGACGACCTGGACGACAGCCTGACCAGCCTCATGTGGCTGCAGGACTTCTCAATCTTGAAGAACACCATCCTGCGCAGGCCCTGCTGGTACTCCAGTGGCCTGGACCCCCACGACTGTTACAAGATCTCCAGCTTTGCTGACCCATGCTCTCCTCTGGCCGCCGACCCGGCGTGCATGGACATGCCCCATGCTCCCTGCAAGCCCATCTCCTCCTCCACTTCAAGGACAGCACATCACGCCGTGGCCACGCATCCTCAGCTCGCGGAGGACATTGACTACAAGACCAATCCCCATGTCAAGCCGCCCTACTCCTACGCCACTCTCATCTGCATGGCAATGGAAGCCAGCAAAAAGCCCAAAATCACCCTTTCTGCCATCTACAAGTGGATTACCGACAACTTCTGCTACTTCCGACACGCCGATCCCACCTGGCAGGTACGACATTTGGAGACCTCTTGCCTTGCTCCATCTCCCTGCAGGTCTGGGGAAAGCTTTGCACAGCCTCCATCACTCAAGGCAAGGTCCTGCGGGGATGCTGGATCCCACTGGAAGAAGAGAAGCACAGGCAATCAGTGGGGAAGGGAATGAGAAGGAGCTTGGGTGTGCAGAAATGCCACAGCTACAAGGGTGGTGGAGGGAAGGAGCCATTACGGAGGAGAGCTCAGGGCCATTTTGGGAGCAGGGAGGTACCCCCTGGCTTGGTGCTTGCTGCGGCTCCTCTCGGCTCCGGGGCGAAGACGTCTCTGTCCGCAGCTCCACCGTTCTGGAGCTCTTGTTGAGTTCTGAGTCTCTCAGGGCTGAGCACACATGAAATTGCCAGGTGGAGTTATCTCTGGGAGCTGAGGACCAGGCGTAGGAGAGGGATGGAGAGGATCCTCAGGGAGATGCTGCTTGTTGGACAAATCCCTTGTTGGGGAGGTTCAGAGAAGAAATGCTGCTGCTTTCCAAGCAGGGCAGAGGGCAGGTCTCCTGTCCCCTTGGACAGGCGAAGGAGGCTCCGTCACTGCGATGATCTGGTGAGGCCTTGGAGGGAAGCCCAAGAGACGTCAAACAGCGCTGCTATCCCCAGCTAGCTTGAGCGTGTCCCCAGGGGGTACGGGATAGCCCCCAAGCTCACCAGCTTTGGGACAGCCCAAAGCACAGGGGCTTTTCCCAGTCCTCTTGGCTCGCTGCCCTCCTCTGTCACATGAAGGGACCTCTGGCACATGAGGCTTTCTAAGATGTGGCAGGGCAAGAGGGATCTGGGTGGCTTGTCCCTCTGCTCGGGTTATTCCCAGCCCAAATCAGCAGTATGCCAGCAATTCCGGCAGCAGTGCTCACCCAGGTAGGGCTGGACAAAACCGCTGCAAGCTTCCTGTCCGGGTCTTGTCCACCTTCTCCCTGGGCAGGTGGGTATCTAGCGGCTCTTGAAGCCTGTCACAGGGATGGGATCTCCCTGGTCCCTCTCCAGGGCCACCTGGGGTCCCTCAGCCGCCTCTGCACTAGGGGGACCTACGGGAGCTATTTGGGAAGAGGAGCTGTGTGCCAGTGTGTTGATTTTCTCCTGCAAACTCACAGCTGGATAATCATCGTGTTTTTAATTAAATGTGTTTATTAAAAAAAAGAAAGTTTTTCAATCCCTCTCCACAGAGATGCAGGGGGTTCATGCGATCATTGCAGGCAGGAATGATAAATATGTTAACTGGCTGTTTAATAACGGAAGGCACCCCAGGCTGAGTGAAGTTTGGGATGGGGAGGCTAAATGGGGAGCAGAGAATTCAGCCTGCAACTCTCTGACACTTGTAAAATGTTATTAAACTGTAAACTTGGAGTTACCACAGCCTGGACTGTTTGTAGGAATACCTGTGTTCCTGCTGCTGCTTTCTTCTTTTTTTTTTTTTTTTTTTTTCCTTTCCTCCTTTCTTTTTTGGTTTTTTTTTCTCCCTTTCCTTCTTTCCTCCTTTCTTTTTTTGCTTTCTTTTTCCTTCTTTCCTCCTCTCTTTTTTTGCTTTCTTTTTCCTTCTTTCCTCCTTTCTTTTTGAGGCTGTGTTCTCATCCCCTATCCCAATTCCCATACATGAAGACAGCCTGGAAAGGTCATGCCACACATACTCTGGGGGGAGATGGATATATTCCTGTGGGAGCTGAGTGCTTTGGAGAGGAGCCAACACACCCAAGGAGCTTCAGCCCAGAGGAGGGTTTTGGTGTGTGCGTGTGTTTTTCAACAGCTCTAAGTATTCAAGCCTTGTTTTTCCTATTCGGCACTACGGATTATGGATGAATAAGCATAAAGATATCCAGGCAACATTAAAAAAAAACCCACCCTCTACCATATCCAATCTCTTAATACAGTCTTGGCTTTGTGGAGTCTAATGCTGGGTTATTTACCCAATAACTGAGTTTCCTTTCTGATTATTCACATCACTCCAGGCACATTCAGGGTTTCAGAACAGCTCAACAGGAGCAGAAACTCCTCTTTTTCTCCCCCCCCCTTAAGCGGTGGCTGATGAAGACGCAGTGATTTCACACTGAGCTTCCCTGGGCCAGAAGGCACCTCAGGAGACACACAGGGCTGTGGTGGAACAGCCCACGTCTCTCCAGTTTTGACCGCCTGGCTTGTGTCAGCCTGGCCACGGGGAGGCATGGTGCCTATTTTTTTGCCAAATATTTTCCCCTCAACACTAGCAATAGGCACAGATGAACGGGGCATGGAAGGAGGGCCCTGATGATGCTGTCCCTGTGGTGTGGTGCTGCCATGTGTTGCCACTTATAATGGGGCCGTAGCCACATTGATGTAAAGACCCTCCTCTTGCTCCTTAGCCACAAAGGAGGACCCAACCTCATTCAGCTTAGCTCCATGCTTAGAGCAAGTCTGGCTGGTTTCTCCCAGTGTTCTGCATGATCCAAGGCCCCACGGCCCAAATTTACAGCCAAGGAGAGCTGCTCAACAGCTTTCAACTTGTTGGTATGTCCTGGTTTAAACCCCTTGGCTCCTGCCACCTCTGACTGAGTTAGACAGGAGGCAAGAAAACTCTGCTAGTAACTTGATGCAGGGGAGTTTCTGCTAGTCACATAACCTGGAATGTCTTGATGTTGCTGTTTCTTTTTCCCCAAAGGTCCTTGCTGAAAGCGTGCTTTTCCACCAGCTTCCCCACACAGGTAGGTGCCACAGCAGCAGACAAGCCTTCAACCTTGTTTTTTTTTTTTCCTCTTTTGGGTCTAGAACTCCATCCGGCACAACCTCTCCTTGAACAAGTGCTTCATCAAGGTGCCCCGGGAGAAGGGCGAGCCAGGCAAAGGCGGGTTTTGGAAGCTTGACCCCCAATACGCTGATCGGCTCAAGAACGGCACCTGCAAAAAGCGGAAGATGGCCCCAGTGCAGGTCCACCCAGCCTTCATCAAAAAAGCCCAGCAAGAAGTGCAGTGTGTTGCCAGCCCAGCTGCTTCGGTTTGCACCTCCAATAATGTCCTCAACATCAACACGGAGTCACAGGAGCTGCTGAAAGAGTTTGAAGAAGTCACAGGCAACCAGAACTGGAATCCAGCAGATGGCAAACCAGGGCAGAAGCGCAAGCAGTCCATGCCCAAGGTGTCTCGGCTTTCCAACTCTGCCTTGCTGACCCAGGAAGAGCAGACCGAGCTGGGATCATTGAAAGGTGACTTTGACTGGGAAGCCATCTTCGACACCAACCTCGATGAAGACTTATCCACTTTTGGGAATCTGGAGCTCACGCTTCCAGTCAGCCCCATAACACGCGACCTGGATTTGACAGTTCATGGCCACCACATTGACTATCCCCAGGGTCAGGAGCAGGTGCTCACCGAATCCAACCAGAACAACTTAGACTTTGACGAAACCTTCATGGCCACTTCTTTCCTGCAGCATCGCTGGGACGAAGAGACAAACGATTACCTCTCCAACACCGTCAACATGGAGCAGTTGTTTGAATTCAACGATGCCTCTTTACCAGCAGATGTCAGTGACTGGAGCAGTCTGGCATCCCTCTTATAAGAGGGCAGTCACCTTTCAAAGCCCACACAGACTTCAGTAGGATGTTCCCCCCATGCTGCTGGGACTTACAAAGGACAATTTCTAGAGACAGAGACATCTACAGTGATTTTTACCAGCTTCATTGTAAGATCATTCACAGAAACACCAGGGGGAGAAAAAAGCAACACCACAGGAACTGTTTGATATATCTTTAAAGGACATATGAAAAGTCTCTAGTTCATGAGTTTCCTCAAGTGAAGAAATAGAACACTACTTATTTTTTTACTTTTAAAGGAAGAAATGTGAAATATCATATTTTTTTTCAGTGAAAATGGACATGGCACATGTTCCTTCAGGGCTAAAGGAGAGCACATGCTAAATCCCATCCAAGACATGATATTCCTGGTGGCTTAGGACTCAATAGATTAAATGCAATTTCCTCACCTCTTTGTCTCTGTTTCTTTCCTTTTTCTGTCCAGGGTAGTTGGTAGGTATAGTATGATAATTAGCTAGTGAGCAAATAGAGGTCCCTTCTGGATTCTCTGAGTTCAATCTCCCTCCTGACTTGTGCCTAGGGAAGAAGAAAAGGTTTATAAATTCAGCAAGTCTGCCTCTTAGATGTTTTAAAATAATTTATTATATATTATATATTAAAAGAAAATTATATTTTTAGCACTAGATGTTCTTAATAGTGGGGGGATAGGGGAAATGCAGTTTCAGAGTTGTTTTATATTTTCACTGTTTAAAGAGTTGTTCTGTAAACCAAGACCACGTGAAGGAGAATTCCTGCAGCAGCAGCAACACGTTTCGTTAAGCATGCAGGAACTGGCCCCAGCAGGAGAGGAGCAATGGGGACCAGAGCACTCCCAGAACCGGCTTTTGTGTGTTTTTTGTACCCAAAATCCTTACTGCAGTTGCCAAAGGGTCTGGAACACCATAAACCCTCTCTGTCCTTCACCAGCTGACATAGCCCCTCCTTCACTGTAGGTTAGTAGAGTAGCCATTAGGTAGGAATAAGTAGAAGCTGTAGTTTTAGTGGTATGTCTTAGACTTGCCTAAAAATGGAAGATTCTATATAAAGAGTTTCTTTTTTGGTTACAAAAGCACTTCGGACCTTTAATGTTAGCAATATAATTTAGCGAGAGTATAACTGTAGTGTAAGAATCAGTAAACAAGCCTTAAAAATATATATATTAATTACCCGTAGGGTAATTTACACCCAAATTTGGGGAGAGGGTTGGAGCCATGGAGGTGGGAGAGCAATTCCCGCATCCCCCCTCATTCAAGCAGCAGAGCTGGGGCTGAGGCTATTGGCTACTGCTTTGCCCTGGTGCCAGCATCTGAAGTCCCCTGGGACGCCACAGCATGGCTGGGGATGGTGTCCCAGGGCCAGGAAGCAAGGGTCATGTCTCTGGGGGGCTTTGGGAGCTGGTGTAGGTGTTTATTGTATTGGCGATGTTTCTTTTTATTTGTTGTTTTTGTTACATTTTCCTATTTGGTTGCCTTTGTACTGATGTTGAAGAACTGCAGATATACATGTGCAATTTAACCTTTTTCATGGAAATTTATTTACAAATTTAAAAAACAAAAAAATTAAAAACAAAA